GACAAATAATAACTTTTCGTTCAAGTTTTTTTTTCTTCTATTCAGTTATTGTATTTATATGCACTGAAAGGAGGGAACTTGTACTATCGATTTACACTCGAAGTTGCTTGATAAATCATCAGATTGTTAAGTAGTTCTCTTTATGGTTTTGTTTCGTATAACTGTATAAATCTTTGCTTCACTTGTTCATGCATGCGTAGACGTATCTTTATTATACACTCACAGTTTTCATTTAGAATGTTCATTATCTCTTACTACGCATGATCGAGATACATCATTAATAAATCATTATCATTCTCATTTCATTTCACATCTAGGGAATATTTTGTTTTCAATGCTTTAGATTTAGATTAAAATTCATTTTCTTTCTTTATACGTATATTTTTATATATATACTTTTTTTTTTTTTTATTTAATAATTTTTTTTTTTTAATTAATATATATATTTATATATAAATTACATATTCTCTAGAGCTGCTGCATGAGACTTGGGAAGTTGCGTTAATATAACTCCACTCAATTTTTCTATCTTAATTTTTTAATTAATGTGCAATCTTCGATGTTTCAAAATTCGTGATAAGAACGTAGCTCTATTCGTTAATGGATACTTATGTCGAGAATATTTATATCAATTGATGTGTTATATATATATATATATACATATATATATTACATTGTAACGCAACGTATACTTCACTTAAAAAATCATCGATCAATCTTTCATTTTCCTCGACTCATTCTTTCATTTCATTTGCGTTTATTCTAAAATTAAGGGTGGAGAGATGATTCGTTTCGAATGATTTTCATATCGATCTAAGGTCTCAGATGAAAATTTAAAGTTTTTTATTTGTATGATCCACCAACAAGCAGTCCACCTTCTTTACGTAATTAAATGTCATTGCATGAGATTTTATTTAATTGTTTATCCCAGTGATTGTTCACCTTTAAATCAGTTATTATTCTTATTATTATTTTTTTTTCTTTTTTTTTTAATAAATTTTTTTTATTTTTTCTTTTTTTTTTTTTTTTTTTTTTTTTTTATATACTTCTACAAAAAAGCTTTTGTAAGAAAGAGAGTTGCATCCCTTCAATTTTACGCTTTCAAATTTGTTCATTTGGCAAAAAGTTTTTATTTTATCTTTTACGATATTATTACAATATTACACGATTATACGCTAATATATTTTAAATTAACCAAAGATTTACACAAATTTGCACAAATATGTGCATGCATCGCGTTTTCGCTCTCTTTTTATTCTTTTCTTATTGTTTCGTGCATATTTTTACGCAATAGGTCTTTGCAATTATTTATTTTACATTAGAATGTCTCGTAGGAGGTACCAATAAAAAGAATACGTAGTGTTTACGAGATTATAGTTATAGTTATTTTCTTTTTTCCTTTCTTTTTTTTTTTTTTTCTCTCTCTCTCTCTTTTTTTCTCTCTTTTTTTCTTAAACGTAGCGCACTCGAATCTTAAAAAAGTAGGGCAGTTTTGCCAGAGGTAGATAGATATATCGAAATTAGGGTATTCGTGGCGGAACCAGCTTATTCACCACAGTTTTGACATTTGATGATGGCCAAGCCGAAGACGAAGAGAACAGTTTGCCGCATATGGATGGTTTCCAAAGCAAGCTTCCACCCGGAATTCTTCCCCATGGTTTGCCACAAGTTAAGGAAGTGCAGCCAGCGGTTACACAAGTGGAGCAAGAGAAGGAAAAGGAAAAACCTAAAGAAGGTAATTTTCTACGTTTAAAATTATTATATTAATCCTCAATAGTCGCAATTATTATTATTTACAAATTTCAATCCACAGTACAGGAACTGAGCGAGGAGGAGAAACAAATGATTATACTCTCCGAAGATTTCCAACGATTCCTCGATCGTACTAGTAGAATTGTGGAAAGAGCGTTAGGAGAATCGGTTAATATTTATAGCGATTATACTGGTACTATGGATGGCGAAGACGGGATGTGAGTATAAGATAAATATAATGCTTGATTATTCTCATGATCGATATTCGATGTTACTCGTTTCGTAGGGATGAAAAGAATCATCAACGTTTGTGGTTGAATCGATGGTTCTTCTGCGATCGATGGTCCCGCAATCGATGCGTGACCTCCATGGACTGGTCGCCCCAGTTTCCAGAACTCCTCGCAGCCTCCTATAACAATAACGATGATACTCCGAACGATCCCGACGGGGTGTGTTTGGTTTGGAACACAAAGTTCAAGAAAACGACGCCAGAGTTCATTTTTCATTGTCAATCTCCAGTCATGTCGACCACCTTTGCAAGATTTCATCCTAATTTAATCTTAGGGGGTACTTATTCCGGACAGATCGTACTCTGGGATAACAGAGTGCAGAAGAGAACTCCTATTCAACGTACTCCATTATCGGCAAGCGCACATACCGTAAGTTATTCGACAATTGTTCAACATAAGTACATGTTATTATTATGTAACATTAAGAATAACATTTCTCTAGCACCCTGTGTACTGTTTAAACGTTGTTGGGGCACAAAACGCGCACAATTTAATAAGTATATCGACCGATGGAAAATTGTGCTCCTGGAGTTTAGACATGTTGTCACAACCGCAAGAAACATTGGATCTTCACACTAAACAATCGAAAGCAATTGCGGCCACTTGTTTAGCATTCCCCCATGGTGATGTCAATAATTTCGTTGTAGGTAGTGAAGAAGGAACCGTATACTCTGGTAAATAAGTTTTTTTAATCAAATTAAACACCTTTTTTACATACGTGATATATCCGTCCTATGGAAATTATTGTGACTCTTTCCTTATTAGCTTGTCGCCACGGTACAAAAGCAGGCGTATTGGAGACTTACGAAGGTCATCAAGGACCAGTTACAGGAATTAGCGCACATGCTGTACAAGGTGGAATAGATTTCTCGCATCTATTCTTAACATCGTCTATCGATTGGACGATCAAACTGTGGAGCCTTAAAGAAAGCAAACCTTTATACTCTTTCGAGCATAATGGCGATTACGTTTATGACGTTGCGTGGTCGCCTACTCATCCGGCTCTATTCGCTGCTGTAGATGACTCAGGACGATTAGACTTGTGGAATCTTAATCAAGATACTGAAGTACCTACGGCTAGTATTGTTATTAATGGATGTCCGGCTCTTAACAGAGTTTCATGGACACCGAGCGGTTTACACGTAACTGTTGGCGATGATTCTGGAAAGATTTGGGTGTACGATGTTGCTGAGGTAAGATCTTTATTTATTTTAATTTAATAATATTTGAATAATGAATAATGAATAATATTGATGAGTAATATTGAATATTTACGTCTTTTTTTTTAACATAGCATTTGGCACATCCTAGAATTGATGAATGGAATAAATTTTTGTACACTCAGCAAGAGTTGAAACACAACAAAGCCGACGAAGAACTGCATAAACTTAATTTAAGGGAGCCTACTTCTTTAACTTCCATACCTCCGCTTCTAACGACATGCCCTCTCAGATAAAGGTATAATTTCTTTTTAAAATTATCGCTAAAGTCGGCTTGAATACTTTAAAATATAAAAATCAAATGAATTAAAAATACGAATATAAATCATAAAAAAAGATCGTAACAGAAATGAAAAAAAAGTGTATTCTACTAACTATAATTTATAGGTGTATTCTTAATTAAAACACCTTTGTTCTGTATAAAATTATTAAACAGCAAGAGCAAGATATTAGTAGTTTGTTTATGAGCAATTGCTGTGCATTCGAATGGCTATAAATTCCACATGTCCAATAGAAGTAATATATCTTTACCGAAAAACTTTATCTCATTAGATTATTAAGGATGTGTACAACATATCTGTGCATGTAAATAATAAATGCTGTGAAGCACGATTTAAATCGATATATTGCAAGAAAATAATTAGAAGAAATTTGACAGTATCGGATAAATTATAACATGCATCAGATAAATTGTAATATAATATTTTATTATTTCGAATTTTTTAAAATATTTATATTTTAGTTTCAGAATTAATTTTCAAAAATTCATATTATTTCTCGTGCTAATATTCTCAACTAATGTATTAAAAATAACACCAGTAGGATATTTAACTATTGAAACTGATCTAATTTAGTACAATAATTTTTAAATGATTTTAGTATTATTTATATTCTCATAGAAACTTTAACATAATTTAAATTTCACATTTTTTTTTTTTTTTTGTAATGTATAGCTCATAACATAGAAAAAAAAATAGTAAAATTTATCGAAGACATATTGTCTATTAAAAAATGTAAATATATCATTATTTTTGCGTTATTATAAATTGCTGGGCTTTATCTAAAATGTGATACTGTTATATAGTGCTATGTCCAAATATGTACTTCTGCTCAAGTCAAGCATATTTTAAAGCATAATTTTTTTTTTATAAAAAAATCATTTAATTTACAATTAATTACACATTGAATAATATTCTGAATGCAATCGTATATAACTTTATTAATGTTTTTTGTATAATGCGAATTTTTTAAATTTAAGTTACGATAAATAATTGTCTAGATGAGTTAATCATATTTCTTCAATGCTATAAATAAAATTTTATTTAAAAGATTCTTGTTAAATTTATCTTAAAAAAAATAGTAAAATTATTTTACTAACATGAATGTATGAGTTGTGTGTATGAGTTGTTGTATAATTGATATATAAATTTTCAATTTATAGATTTTAAATACTTCGTAATTACATTTCAGGTACCATAAATTACAAAATATATATGTAGTATAATACCAATTTATGATAAATTTTATTGACAATAACAATAATTTACAATAGTTTAAAAATACAATAAAAGATATATAATTTCATTTCGTTAGAAACAATTAAAATTATAGAAATTTTGATCATTATTTAAATAGCTTTCAAGTATATTTAAAATTTTATAAAATTATATTTTATGAGTATATAAATTTTATTAGTCACAAGTTATAAAATGTAACGCATTACGTATATTATTATATGCTTTTCACACATTATTTTAATCATTCGAATTAACGAGTAGATCTTTAAAATTTTTACAAACTTTTCTTAATTTTATTTTTAGAAATATTAAAATCCTAAAAGATAAAAATTAAAGATCTTATTCTAACTAATGCTCCCTCTGAGTTTTGGTAATTAATATCTAAGATACAATACTTGTAATATTGCACCGAATTTTGATCGTGCGTGAACCAAGTTACAACAAATTCCTATATAACCCATATCGAATACTAATCAAAATAAATTTATTCACTTGCTTCTTCACCTATTTCGTTCTTTTGTTCTTTCGTTATCCATTTTCGTTCGTCCAAGCACGATCTGTTTCGTACACGTTCATTATAAATAAAACAGATGAAATCACAGATGTAGACAAGAAAACAAAGAAAACAAAACAAAAAAAAAAAGAAACATACAGGTAATCGTTGAATATTTGCCAAACTCTATTCGAATCGATATATATATATATATATGTATACATATATATCGATATTTTCTTCAGGTAATTAGAAAAAAAGCTTTGGTCTATAGTATTAAACGATTACAAATCCTACATTACAAAACGATTCTTAGATTACTTCGTAATATACATCTATTTAAGGAAATAGAAAAAAAAAAAAAAAAAAAAAAGAAAGAAGGAAAAAAATCTATAACTAACTAGATCTCTATTATCCCTGATTTCTCGTCATTATCCTCCTTATCTGTGAGCAAAACATACTGTTCTCGAGTCATTAATAATTTGTGCTGTCCATTCATTAACAACGTGGAACCTCTTCTTATGGTACGTTTGCCTAATTCGATCGCTTCGTGCGTGAGCACCACGTTGTTGTAAGCCTTCATGAACACGACGAATATGATTACTATACCGACTAGAATTAATCCATACGAGGTACAAGGCGCAGCAACATCGCTAAATGTTGTTGCAAAATAAACCCATCTACGTATAGATGGTGTCAGCTCTTCGATACCTTCCTCCAGCCACATGATAGGAAACACGATGTCGGGAAAATTCGACACAACACTGATCAACGGTTGGTGTTCGATCTTTAAGTTCAATTGTACCCGGACCTTCCCCTCTAAAGGCACACCAATTTTCTGTGAAACAAACGAATTCCAAATGATTTATCCATCACACAAACACACAATACACGATTATCTCCATTTTTATTGTTATTTGAAATAACACTCACTGGTTGAATTTTAAAATAAGTTTCGTGTATTTCTCGGCTTGGATTTAATCCCTCGACCGCCTCCAATAAATTAGGATCCGCTTTGTAGAAGTGAGGGAAGGAAAGATAAACCGGTGCGCCTATTGAAATTGAAAGGATAGAAGTTTCTTCTCTGAAAATTGTTAAGAAAAATAAAATCGAATAATTTATGGGGTTACTACTTACTATACTGGCAAGGGCTGATATTTTGCAATCCGTTCGAAGGACACGTGGACATGTCATCCGGACAAAAACATTCGTTTTCTGGAGCGCTTTCGTTTGGCCGTCCAAACACGGCGTCAGGGGGTACATATAAATCCGCTTTGATCCCTGATTTCTCGGTTGAGCCGTGATATTTTAAAGGCAGGGTTCGACAAAGATCCTTGTCCCAAATGTGCACGATGTCGGCGCCAGTTTTCTCACGGGGTGGGAAAAAGGATCCTACGACAGGATAAAGATATCCTGTAATAATATTTCTTTTATTGAATTGAGTAAAAGATATTTAATCCAATTGTATCCACCCTCTGAAGCGCGAATAGAATTGCAAGGCGCGGTCGGCCAATACGGTAGACGATCCATCCCATTCAAACGATTTATTAATCCAAACTCTTTCATATCCGTGTGCCCCGTAAAGATAGTAGACACTTCATCCAACGTGCCATTCCTCTGCAATTAAATACGTCAACACTTGTGTGTCATAAAAAATGACGTTAATTATTGTTTACAAATTTTTCTAAACCTAACAGGTTGCAATAATTTTTATCCATCTATTTATTTATTTTTTCCGTATATTACCCCGAGAAGAAGTCCCATTTGACTCATGGGACGTCTCGTTTTTGGAAAGAATCGATGGGCGATGCTGACTAATGGATCGTCGTATCCAAAAACGAGTTCTTGAGCAGTTACTGGAACGAACGATTTCATGTGCATTCCGCTCAAAAACATAGATAATCCTAAAGTGATAAATCGAGGTAGACTCTTGCTTTGCGTCGACAATGTCTGAAAAATATATATATATATATAATAAGGTTAACAAGATTCTCTTCGCGAATTTCGAAAGAATTTATTTCGTGCAATCCACGATCATTTTCGTGAAAATCGAGAAAAATAAAAACTTACCAATAGCGGAATGTTTGGCACTATTACTTTGAGATCTTTATCCTTCGACAACTCTGGTACAAAGTTTAATATTTTCTTGTGTTGATAAGTTACGGTACCATTGTTATGGAAAACGATATTCACTTTTTCCATATCCTCTCTGTGTTACACGAATTACGAAATTAAAAGATATGTAATAATGTTTATGCCCCTATGTTGGGGATGAAACGATACTCACTTGTACACGAACGGGCCAATTTCTTGTAATTTTGGCTTTTCGTTGTATTGCAAGAAGTTTTCTACGTTGGTCACATTAAATATGTAAACTTTGGTCAATCTAACTACTCCTGGTTTCTGCCAGTATTGAAAAGAAAGAGACCCATTCCACAATCGAAGTTGCTGAAGAATAATAATTAAAAATATTATATAAGAAAAATAAAGAATTGCGTTTTTCTTATATATATTTATATTATTTTATATATTATATTATTATATATTATATTATTATATATTATATATAATATATATATCTTATATACATTATATTATTTATATTATCTTATTTATATTTTGCGAATATAAATTTATTATAAAGCACGTAGAACGATTGAATAAAAAGAATGTTTGGTAATTTGGAACACGAGAACGTGCCTCCATATAATTGTTAACATATAATTGTTCCTGGATTTACAGGAAATGATAAAAATGAAAGTAAATTTTGATGATTAAACGAAAAAGAAAAGAAGAATAATCTTGGTTTCAAAAATTTATCTCGTTCATGATCGAATATTGACATCATAGGATAGCAAGAGTGAAAATAATTTTCGATTTTTGTTAATTTAATTTGTTAATATATTTACTCCAATTAAATTATTAGAGATTAGAAATTAATTCGAGGAAGATCGTCATCGTTTCCACGATTGATCAAGTTTATTTTATTTATCAATGATGCTTATATAACAATACCGATAACTATATATATAACTATATATTTTTGCTCATTTTATTGTAAAACAAGAAATTAATGATGAAGAATTAATGTGATTTTATACATTAAGCTGTACTATCAAATGAGGAAAGAAAAAAAAAATAATAATAATAATAATTGAAGAATCATTTTCAAAGAAATATCGTAACATCAAAAAATATTGCTTATTATACACTGTTATTAAATAATTATTTAAAATAAATTTGAAATTTAATATCATTGAAGAATATATTGAATGATTCAGATTTTAAACCCTTACATTATCGTTATATGAATAAAACATATTAATAACAATCCCAGTTTATTATCAATGTAAATATTAATGAAATACTAAACCGTGCATTTAATTAAATAATGCTAAAAATGCTTATGTTATTGTTAATTTCATTCAGTTAATCAATGGAATATAATTAGATTTGATAAATAACTGCCAGTAAAACAGTTTTATGTAAAAGTAAAAAAGTAAAAAAGTTTTATATAATAAATATATTCAATATGTTAATATGTGTAATATTCATATTTACATATAAAAATATTAATATAAACATAATTGGATTTATGAAAATTCAAATTTTAAAGATAATTCCTATTTGGCTAACGATTACTTGGAATCAAGAATAAATAATAAGAATAATTCTAAGAGAATCTTTTACAAAAACTAAATTATTTTAAATTATTTTACGTACCTTTAATATAATGTAATCCACCCAAGGTATACTGCTTAAAATAATGCCGATCACGAGCGTCAGAATTCCTATGAAAATTGCTGACACTCTACCTACAAAGCATAAATACATAGATACGATAAATGATAATAGATAAATTTCTAATCTTTGTTATTGTATTTATTATTCCAAACACATGGAATTTTATTCTTTTATTCGTTTGCCTATATATCATTTTTCACAGTCAAAATTATTCGACTATTATGAAAAGAATAAGGCCAACTTCCGAGAAATTTCAATGACATAACGTTCTCTGAATCATCATAAGTATCCCATCAACGTTATGTACTATGTGAGATAATTGTATTTGATTAATATACATTGAAAGTTCTATGTCATAATATTTCAGCTTGTGAAGAAAATTAAATAATTATTTAATACGTTATGAAGTATTGTATATATATATATATTCTTTCTTGAACAAAGTAATCAATATTTTGACATGTTTAAACGTGAATCATGTATTCGAAGAAACGAAAGGAAGATGTCAAGTTTTCACAAGATACATTATGTCACTTGTCTCATCTCGAATGCACAGATCTATTGATAATTATTTCGTTCCCTCGTGGTTTTTATAAAGCTTACGATTGCCCCTAATAAAGCATTAAAATATCGTTAACAACGTCGAAATAATGTTGAAATCGCGAACAAATTGCTCGGAAAAAAAAAAAAAAAATAAAACGTGTTTTTTACGAGTAATTCATTTCGTAATTTTACTTTTTGCAATTAAAAATATTTTCAACGATTGATCGTTATTTCGTGTTACCGATTTCTTGCTTTATTCATTTATTTATTTTTTTTTTTCTTATTTCAAGTATAAAATCAAGCCAATTTCTGGTATTTAATAATATTTTATTGTAAAACTGTTCCTTTCATATTTTCAACACTTTATACTGGCAATCCTTGGCCAATTATTATGAAATTACTAAAATCGAAAAAAAAAGAGCTTGCCTCATATCTTCTCGAAAGTTCTTCTAAACGATCATCGTGTCGTTAGTTTGCACTTAAAAACCTTGATGACCGGACTTTCCTTAAGATTATTCATATCTTACTTTTTAGAAATTTTTAGTCACGTTTTTCATAAAACGCATTAGCCTTCACCTTTTCCCTCTTAAATATATTATATATATATATATATATATATATATATATTAAAATTCATGGTTAATTCTTTTAGCCTTGGGAAAATCCTACCAAGATATTTGATTCATCTTGACCTATATATTTATTCGTACGTAGTCTTCTTCTTCTTCTTTTTTTTTTTTTTTTTAAGATAAAATTAATCTTATTTATATAATATTTGATAATTATTGCTGAGCAAAACAAAATTGTATAATTCAAAGTTCGTTACTCGGCATAAATATAAATTTCTCTCATTCTCGTTTCAACAATTAAATATATAAATAAATATATTTGTGGAGCGGAAGTTCTCTCTCTATAACATCCTGATTTCTAATAAGAAGATTATATAAATAACTTTATTTATAATAAAATATCGAATAATGCTTCACAGTTGAACCTTGGGTTATCTAAGGGGAAAGCTGTAATATTTCTGGCTAAGGTGAAAGGTTAAATAAGAACTAGGAAACAAAATATTTTCCTCTAGTGGCTTAAAATTGCATGCTTTTACTATCCTACTTTTCTAATGATGCGATCAATCAATTTCTTTTCAATATAATTTTCTTTTCTGGCCTACTGTGCTCGTTTATAATTTTAAAAGGTATCTTTTTTTTTTATAAATGACTGCTCTTGACATTGATTGAATCCTCTTTATGCTACACGTCACTAATAAATAGTTAATAAAAATTATAAAACGAAATAAGAAGGCATCGTATTATTTTAATGATTGTCTAAAGATAATTCAGAAAATTCCAAAGAAATTCATTTATATGTAAGATATATTTTTAACGCGCAATGCAAATTTCTATGAATAATTAAAAATTACATTTTACATTTTTAGACGTTAGTCTAAATATAGAAGTGTCTGTGACATTTCCACAGTCACGAAACACGATTCGAGATTACGTGATTTCGTCTTGGGATGCTGGATTCGGCTTCGAAAAATTTCACTCTCAAGGACGGGTAACAGAATTCCATAAAAATTGGTCAGTCACGTGATACACTTTCTGCGACTTTTCTCGCTTCGTTCTTTCAATCCTTCTCATCCTTTATCTAATATAAAATCTTGTTTCGTAATATTCAACGAACGATATTATGGTATAACATGATCAACAGAAGCATCATTAATACAATGTGGAGGTGTACAATTTCGAATATTCCGTTTGAAAATTTTTCAATCCAATCTTTAATCGGATCATTCGCTTGAAAAATATCCAAGGAACAGATGAATTTCCATAAAAAAAAAAAGAAAAAAAAAGAAAAAAGCTCGTTTTAATAAACAAGCTCAAAACGTTTAACGATTCAAGAGACCCAAGTGTAAATTGAACCTCTTGCTCACTGTTGATAGAGAATGCAAAGTAGCCTGCCTGTTGAGGAGGTTCGTGAAACGTTCGTTAACCATGAGCAATATAAATTACCAAAGTCATTGCATAATTTTACGATCTCTCCTTTCTCGAGAACTCTGTTGTCGATCGCCTCCGTTAAAGTTCGCTTTCTTCACGTGTCCTCGAAAAGATGGAAAATGAAAATCCATTGAACGGTTGTGAGCACCTCGACAGACGTGTTTCTTGTCCGCGTCTGCCTCCATCCATCTTGCTTAATCGGTTGTTCGAACCGTGCGTAATATTTGTCGAGCGAAGATTTGATTTTAAATCTATTGATCGAGCTGCTGCTACGACCTTCTTCTCGGCTCTTTATTCGTGATCAAAGTATCGTAGTCGTCTATTATACGTTAATTTTCTTATTTTTTTTTATTTCTTATCCTTTTTTTAATCTTCTTCTTCTTCCTTTTTTTTTTTTTTTAATTTACATATACATATCCTTGTATCATCGAATTAATCGTTTGCGAAAGAAATTTTTTGATTTCGTCGAATTTATTGATTGTATATGTTTTTGTAATGATGGTCGTAATTATCATAGTTGAGTAATGTTTTTTTAAAAATAGTTTTTTTTTTTTTTTTTTTTTTTTTTTTCTTAAAAACTTAGTCACAATATGACTTAAAGAAGATCCCTAAGTCGAATATAATCACGAAAAGTTACGTGTTTGCTTGTGGGGAGATCGTTGAACGGAAGCTATTTTAACAGCCATTTCTTACTGCTACATTTTAAGTGCAACGATCTCTCAGGAATGAAATTTACGGTCGTCCATTCATTGTTTTTCTACTGATTCGATTTAACTATTCGCGTGATGATTAAAATAAAATTTTTTTCTTTTTTTAAATTAATTATTCATCGATTTTTTTAAATTAATTACATCGATAAATTAGGATCATTATGAGATTAATTTAATTAAAATGATTCGTAATAATTCGCGTTATTGCGATATTAATAGCTCAATAAAAATGAACGGTGCTAAGTGAAATCTGTGTAAAATAAAGTGTACAAAAGATGCGTAAAAATTTTTCTAATTAATTTTGATAATGAACGTTTTCACTCGTTGCTTATTATCTTGATCTCAATAGTCTTCCGGTAGAACTAGAACCACTTTTCTACCTTGCGCAAGGTTTCGAAAGAAACGAAAAAACAAAAAAAAAAAAAAAGGTTTAACCGTAATACATAAGATATGTGCAAAGACGAAGGTCTCGAGTTTATTTTACGTTGAATGTTGCGACAATTAATTATTAGGAAACTATGTGAAAGGATTTTAGAACGTAATCGGTTAGCGTAATTGGTAAAACGGGTTACTTATTTTTTTTTTTGGGTGCCATTTTTTTTTTTTTTTTTTTTTTTTTAATTTTCTTTTTCAAGTCAACGAATATGGAACAATTGTTTCTTTGAAACAAAGAATTTCAATTTATTTTTCCTTGACCATTAATCCGTTTTCCAATTTTTCCAATTTTCCAATTTAAATTGATACGTATATTAAAAAAAAAAGAAAATCGATCTTTTTCGTTTGTCGATCATCTTATGATCGCATATGAAAAATACGATATCGATAAAACTTGACTGTTTTCCGCTCGAGCTTTTTATGTCTATTTTACGTGTTGCACGTCCCATTCAGATAAAAGAGATCACCAGTTAACGCTTGTTACTGAAAGTTAAAGACGTTCAATTACTATTCAGAATGAGTTGCTAATGCAAGACTATTGATCGTAAACTTTAATGATAATTCGCCTCTCTTTTATTCCCATAATATTGCCAAGAATTGATGAAATAAAAGGAATAAAATATAGGAAAATTTATTAACGAATATATCCATTTTTTGCCATTTTGTAACAATTATTGCCGTCATAAATCGTCATACGTTATAAAAAATAAACGTATTTTACGTTTGATGATGAATGATTTATAATTTATGGGGTTCAGAGATCGTAATAATTATAGCTGATGCTACTTTTTTTTTTTCTCTTTTTTTTTTCTAATTCGCGTTAAACGGAATAAAATAATGATATGATATTATTCCTCTCAATTAATTTTTTATCTAATCAATTCAAGGAAATTACAGGTATTTCGATTTTTAGTGACGTCAATTATTTTATTTGTTATTATTAATTTTAATTTACAAGGTAAATATATTTGTCGTAAATGAAATGGGAATATGAAACGGAAATTTACAGAAGGATACAGAGGATTAACAGGGTAATCATACAATGATACTTTGACATTTTCTTGTCAACTTTGATATTTAATATTAGGATATTGTCCATAAAAATAAATTTAATGGGGAATATCCTCGATACGATTGTATGTCACTTCCTGTTCATCGTAAGTACAGGTACAGTTATACACAGGTATAACTTTGAGGGAAACACGATCGTAAAATTATTCACGCAGAAATTATTACTATGTACATTTTCTTGTATGGAGAAACTTTGGAAAAATGTTTTTCTTTTCTTTTTTCTTTTTTTCTTTTTTTCTTTTTTAATTTTATTTTATCTTGTTTTGTTTCGTTAGATTAAGGGCAAAGAAAGTGGGGAAATCTTGCAACGGACATTCAACTCGATTTTAAACCGAAATTCCAAATATATGTATACGTTCTCAAATTAATTAGCAGAGAAATTTTCGTATGACTCAGTGGCGAGGCATACTTATCTTCTTCTATGCTCGCTTACTATTCTTATTTAAAAATTAAGTGATTTACCGCAAAAAAAGAAAGAAAAGGAAAAAAAAAAAAAGATTGGAAAACTAACAAGCGTAGAAAGTGTAGGAATAACTGAGTTCAAATAACGAATTCTTCCATAGTAAATTCACTCGTATTTCTTTTATTATGCACACTAAATCCATTCTAAACCATTTTACATTTCCTGCGTTGTAAATCTAAACGACATGCTCTTGCGAAATAACTTAACCATAATAGAAGATGGATTTAACGCGTTGAATTTTAAAATATTGGAACTGGCAGTAAGTGTTTGAATAGAAATAAACGTGGTAATGTTAATCTCGTGTTATTCACCGTGAAATCGATATATATATATTCGTTTTCCTTCGACGAAAACTGTTCTGTCGTCGACAATTGATACGAACGATACGAACGATTTTTATTTTAAAAAAATCGTGGAAGAAAACAGGGGCGATTGAGGAATAACGCATAAAGGAAGTGAAAAGTTATTTTCACATCCGTGGAAGGAAGTGAAAATGTTAACGATCTCGCAGGAAAAGGAAACGTTAACGTTCTTATCGAATCGAAAATAAAAAGTTTTGCTTCGAATCGACTGAATCGAGAAAGTGCGATCAACAAACTTGAAATGAAAAAAAAAGAAAAAAAAAACAACATCGAGTTAATAATCAACCACTTTTTATCTCACTGAAATAAATTCATCGATTTGGCCATCGTGTATATATACATACACGAATAATGATTAATGATGAAATTAGAAATTAAATTTTCTAATTTTACTTTAGTAACATTCAACCAGATATTGATCCCGTGCACAGGTACATTTTTTAACAAGCCATTGCTGCGCAAATGGCCATCGACGATTGCACGTTACTCAGTGTTATCTCATCAGGTTACACGAGTTACTTAATGGCCATTGAAACACGTAATATCGAAGACGGGACAGGGATCTCTACGCCGGACTAAAAATATATCTGTTCGTTACACTGGACCCCTTCCTCCTCCAAAGTTTCTCCGAACAACCGAGAGTGAAAGTGATCTCAAAATCGGCGAGCGTACGATACACCTCTTGCTTTACATCTCTCCTGCCCCGACTTATGCCTTTACGAACGCACCGTGGACCGCGCGGTTGTCCACCATTTTGCAATCCGCTCTAATATAAAAATATTTGGACCGCCGATTTTGTAATCCTAACTGCGTTCCAAGGATTTTAATTAGGAAGGATCTTAATTTTAAGAAGGCTCGTTCGTCGCTAATCGTGCGTTTTTGATCAGTGGAAAAAAAAGAAAGAATGATTTTCACCACGGTTCAAGAAATTTTCAGGACATACGTTTCACGATCAGCGCTGTCGGATGAATATTCTTCGAATGATCGGTCATGAGGTTTTCGTTATTTGCATACATTTGTGCGAAACACGAATGTTTTTTTAGATGAGTATATCGTAATTTGTGATTCGTTCAAAAAATTATAAATTGATTTCTGATTCGAAATACTTATACTTGATAGTAATTTTTAATTGTCAAATGGCAAGTTGTAAATGTTTGGAGCTTCGGGTAACTTAAATAAAGAAGGAAGCGATACTTCAAAATTTGTAATTTTTTAACTAACGTGTGATTTCTATTAATAAGGAGAATGCTTGTATATTAATTTTAATTAATTCTATTTTTTATAAATCGAGAAAGATATAGACCGTATCGATGGCCGACTTATTCGGATACCTTTGAGAGAATTTAATCATCAGAAATAAGATTTTCAACATTAGGAAACATTACAAAATTGTTGAATCTATGTTATTTAATTGGTTATTAACAAATATTAAATAATTAAAAATATAATAATTATAGCAACAGGCTATAGAGAGAATCAGAAGTAGATAAATTTATAAAGGAAAAAAAATATATGAATTAAACAATACGGGATACTACAGTCTTGTATAAAATATTTTGCAAGTCTAATTAATACCATTCTTACACGAGTACATCGATTAAAGTTTTTAATCGTATGCATATTGCTTCGTTTCACATTCTGACTTTACAAATATGTTCAATTTTTAGTTTCACAACTCGAACGGAAAAAAACGTTTCTTTTTCCTTAGACTAAAATATTAAAAGAGAAGAAGAAGAAGAAGAAGAAAAAGAAGAAAAAAAAAACATTAAGAAACGATCGATCTAAATTAAGCGAGAATTTAACGTTAGATAGCTAGACTACTTTCTTAAAGCAACACGGAATCGTTTCTCCTCAAATGAAATTACTTTGATACTTTCGAATAAACTTTGCTTGACCAGTAAGTCAAGATCATTGAAGGAAGTACAAGTTTTACTAGCGGATATTTATGTACTCGATTCGATCTAAATTAGAAATGATCTAATAATAAGAATTTAATAAGATTAAAAAGTATATTTTTTTAATAAAAAAGTAAAAGAAGAACGTTACGATATATTCGATATATATATACACTTTAAAAATCCATTTATTACGATTTATTACGAAAATTGTTCAAATCGATGATTCCATTCTTTAAAAAAAAAAAAAAAAAAAAAAAAAAAGAAAAGAAAAAAAATGAACAAAATGAACAAATAAACGATAACAACAGAATCGAAGATATCCTTCCAGATATAAAAAGTTTGATCTATAAAAGAATAAAATTTCCAAATATTTCCAAAGAGAAAAAAAATTGTTGTCGATATTTCATAATCCTTTTTCAAACGTATCCTCGAAATCAAGAACCCATCAAACCCATCAAGATCAAGATCTTATATTCAACTTCAAACCGTAAAGGTCAGAATGAGCCGAGAAACAACTTGCAACAAGAGGACTCCTTTCACGTTGCCCGAGTGGTAAAACAGGAAACACGATCCCGATGAAAGGCCCGCATCTTCTAAGAAACGTTACACCAGTTTGAAAACGGAATTCGAATCTCGTAAGAGGTTCGAGATCAAGATTCGCATTCCAGATAATTTTCAGGAAGGAAGGAGCGACGTTCCTTCTTCTTCTTCTTCCGTTTCTCGAGAGGAAGAAGAAAACGTTGGAGATATTTGAGAGAGAGAGAGAGAGAGAGAGAGAGAAATATTATATCGAATAACGGGTGCAAGTAGGCCAAATAGCGCACAGAAAGGAATCGGTTGCCTGCCCCACTATCACGTATCATTCTGATTATGTTTGATCATCGTCAACACACTTTGCAGGTAGGTAACAGGTTTATAAGCGTTGGTTGCAACTCGTACTATTCGGCCGGTGCCGCTCACCTCGAACTTTTCAATCGAAACGGGAGAAACTCGCCGCAATAGCCGTGACCGATCGTATGGAATGTATGAAAAATTAAAAAGATTCAAGTGAACTTGAAGAGATTGTTTTTTATCATCGATTCTTTTTTCTTTTCTTTTTTTTTTTTTTTTGCGAGCACGCATCGATTAATTTCTTCTAATGTCCCTCGGAGCGCGGACGATGTTTATTTTAGAAATTAACGTTTGTTAATCGTGACTCGATTCGCGGGGGATATCGTGATTTTTCAATGCGCAGGAATTCTTTTTTTAGATTAGATTATATAAAATTTCAAGTTCGTGCAATCTAATACATACCATGAAATCCGGTATGAGGATTAGAAATTGTTTTTATTATAGAGTGAAATGGTAGTTTTTTTTTTTTTTTTTTTTTTTTTCAAGTTCATTGAAACAGTTGTTATGCAGCCGAATCGTTGGCTGGATCGAAATTGAATTGAAATCAGGTAGTGAACGCATTCCTGGCGAATGGAGAAAACGAAAACCTCTTATGATAATTCAAGTTTCTCTGAAGTGAAGAATTTCTTCCTGATTCAAGGTGGAAACAGGTGGAAACTCTCTATTTTCTTACGCATCTTTCAGGGAAATGCAATTTTTCACAGTTCACTTCACAGACAATTTTCGATTTTCGCTTCCAATTCGTAGATTTTGGAAAACGTGGAAAAGAAAAGAAAAAAAAAAAAGAAAATCTCTCGTCAAGATATAAATATTAAAGCGAGACAGAAATCCGCTTAATAATAATTAAGAAAATATTTCAAGTAGATTTCAACGATATTATGCAATCGTGCAGCAATCTTTGATATTCGTTCCAATATTTTAAAATATTGAAATTGCATTATATTTCTCGAATATCATTTTTATTAGATCGCAATAAGAAGAAAGAAACGAAACGAACGCGAAAACTTCATCGTCAATCGTTTAAATCGTTTTATTAATTAAATTTATTCCTCTTGTCATTAATCGGGAATACCGATCTCCAATTATTTCCTATAATACAATTTCAACAAAAACTACCTGAGCATTTTTTTTTTTTTTTTATCTCGAGGAATTGAAATTCTAATTAATTAGAATTTCGCGGTAGAGCACACACGCGTTAATCTGGTTATTTCGTCACAACGTAACGGGCACGTGCAACTTAACGTAAATCAAAATGAAATAATAGCTTCTTACCGTGTTTCAACTTCCCATTCTTAGAAACGAGGAAGGACAAAGGTCTAGGGACCTTGTCCGTGCAGAGGCCGTCGTGTTGACTCGTCTTTACACCGAACAGGGCGTTCCTCCCCACCTTCATGTACTCCTTGCCCATCTTCTTGGGCGAGCTGATACCCAACAACGATCCTATGAATTTCATCGTGTCACAATTTGCGCGAATCAACGACGATCTTTCAAACTTTGCCTGCCCACTTTTAATTTCGTAACAACTTGTGATCAACTTGTTTTAAACGTGACTTCTTTTTTTCTTCCTTTATTTCCTCTTCTTCTTCTTCTTTTTTTCTCTCCCTCAAGATTTCTCAACACGCATGTATGTATATTTAATCAGAGGGATACAGGTGTATTATGAACATCACGTTGGAGATCACAAAAGAGATAACGCATGTTGCTGAAATCGGTTCTCCTGTGTTTCACTGTTAAAATTCACGTCAATTAAGGATAATTGGATAATTCTTGCTCTGTTTATCGCCACTTAGAAATCTTTGTTACAGTTAATCTACGATGTGTGCTACCATGTGTCTTGAAAGTATTGTCTTCACGTCACTTGGCCGAACATTGTTCTCGAGGATGCACACGATTCGTTCTTAGAACACTTGGTTAACCGGCATCGTTTTCTTTCCCTTTCTTTCTCTTTTTCTTCCTTTTTTCCCCCCCTTCCTCTTGCAGTTGAAATCGATTCCTCCTTTCTCGATCTATTTTTTTCCTCTCATTAATCGTTTCCTCTTATTTTCTACGCGATGGAAATTATTAACTTTCTCGATCGCTTAAGACCGATTATCAGGATTTCGTTCTCGATGATCTTTCACTCCGATGAGTTTCGCTCATTTATTCGTCGCGCGATTCTTATTTGCTGGATAATCGTCTCCTCCTGGAAATAAGAAAAATAACAATATTAGCCGATCTCTCCAACGTTATTACGATTTAAGAAATAAAACTATGGAGCGGAAGTTTATTTTTATTAAAAAAAGATTTTTATAAATGTATGTATATGATTTTATTTCAAAGATTTTATTTAAAACCCGAGCATATAGATTAGCAACGCTAGTTCGTTTAACAACTTTGTCCACCGTTGAGTTGTGACAAAAAAAGTGATAATTGATGTTAAAAGTGTTAACCACAACAATACGGCACCGCAATTATTTATGAGCGTTAACTTACGACCACGCAATTTTCATTGTGAAAAATTCTATCCTTCATTTTGCGTAATTATCTTTGCGATCCATCGATTCCCTATTCGTTATACGTCTTCATCATCATCATCATCATCATCATCACCGTGAAGACTTATCTAACGATCAATTCTTAACGATATAACCTCAAATAAGAATCGGGTAAACGATAAAAAAAAGAAAAAAGAAAATGTCCATGAAATATAATCTCTTTTGCGTAAGTATTTCACGAGATGAATTTTGATCGAACGAACGATTGTTGTGTTATAATTTACATATATGTTAAAACAACGTAGATAATTATTTAACAAAATAGTTAAAATATAAATAGTGAATATAATATATATAATATAAATAGTGAAAATTAGTTAAACTTATATAATAACAAGATCAAACGAAACGAGAGAAACGTTGAGAGAAACGAAATTTCAAACAACGCGGGGAATCTAAAATGGGGATTTAGAAAAAAAAAAAAGAAAAAAGTACGCGACGAAATCTCTCTGGTAGCACTTACACTTTCACCGGTCATTAACGCAAATACTTAGTATTTACTCACGTGTTATATACAATGGTTATATATAGTTGAGAAAGTAAATAGTAATGGATATTTCACTCATTATAATATAACGTCCAATTATGTTACGTAAATTAAATTACGTTTTGGGGAAAATAGCGTAAAATTGATCGAAAAAAGAGAGAGAGAAAGAAAGAAAGAAAGAAGAAAGAAAAAGTTATATATTTTGTCTCAATATGCATTTCGTTGGAGGATACGACTATTATTTCTTTCTTTTTTATTTTTAATGCATTAAAAATAAGAAAGTATTAATTGGAAAAAATGATCTAATTAATTCTTAATCCGTTCAATATAGTTTTAAAGAATTCTGTGATATTTAGTATTTTTATTGTAATTTTACATTATACCTGTTTTGCATTATACTCTAATTTGCATTGCATCAAGTTGCTATTTATAAAGGATTTCCAAATTCGTTGTATTTTATATATATATATATAATATTTTCTTTTCATCTGCATATCATGTTTAATTTATCCAGTTTTATTCAGTTTCATTTGCATTTGTAATATGAATTTATCGTAATATTATGCAATTTAATGCAGCGAACAATTATACAAAATAGAAATGAATATTATGACGTTGAATATCAGAAATTAAAAAATTGCTACGTTTACAAATACATCTTCCAATTTAATAATATAAGAATAATATATTATTAAAAGAAGAGATAAGAATAATATAAGAATAAAGTATAGAATATAAGAAAAAAATATAGAATAAAATTTCTCTAAATTGAAATTAAAATTTACTATACTTTTAATAGATCGTTAAAAAGATATTTAATTCGATTGGACAACTTATTCGGGTCAACGACAATTTATTCTTATTCTATTTTACGTATCGTAAAATATCTTGGAGCGAGGGAAAAAAAAAGGAACCGGAATAAAGGAATGTCAAATAACTAGAATCGTTATGCATGACGAAAAGAGGAACTATTCTATTGTACGGACATGCAATAGTACCGTTACATCCTCGAAGAGACAAGATAATTCCATAACCCTGAGAAAAGTGAATTTTCTTGGCTATATTTGACATTTAGCAAATCATTGGGATCGATCATTAAACTTGATTAATTTTTAATTGTTGAGTTGCAAAATTTTTTATCTTGTAGATCTTTTTTATCTTTCTAAATTCTAAATATTTTCTTGTAATGTTATTATAATAAAAATAAAATTGTGTGACAATCGATATTTATTTTTTTCAACATCTGATTTAAAAATAAATTAATTGCAGCGAATTAGTTTCTTTTTTTTTTTTCAAATTTAAATCATATTTATTCTTGTTTATTTAAATGAAGAAGAGATATTTTTATATTTTTGAATGATAATATCGTAGAATATTTCGACTATTTAGATCATAACCGATCTAGAAACAATCGGGCAAAAATGTACACTGAATTTTTTAAAAAGAGTCATATTTCGTGTTCGTGATTCGATGATGGAACAATTTCATCAGTGAAAAACTATTTCAAACTTTCAATTTGATTAATTAACTTAGAAAAATAAGGAGGAGAAATAAAAATTGTAAAATGGTTGGAAAATTCGTTCCCTATATAATTCGAGGTTATAGAATATAAGTACGAACAAAGTTATCGAATTATTAAATGCAAATGGTGATCGATCGTTGCGCAAAATTGAAAAAAAATTTAAATAGATAATAAATTTAATACTACTATACATATAATCATAAATATTTAAATTTTTGAATTGTTTATCTTGATAAATAATAAAGATTTAATCTATTTTAATAATAAAAAATTCATATCGTTTAAAAAAATGGGATATGCAAATATATCTAAAGAAAAATACTTAATAATTTATAAAATAAATTATCGCATAATATTTCCGCAATTTTCCGTAAATATTCCACGGAATAAAAGAAATAACCTTGTTCCTTTATGTATATTAATTATACGAACAATTTATATTTAATAACGAATAGATAGAAATATAATTAACAAGCGATAGTGATTTCATTTCTATCAAGGATATTATGATTTAATGGTACAGCAAAATCTGTCAAGAACATTCTTAATAATATTTTTCTCAAATATATTTTCCCCGTTTAACATAATATTTTTTTCTCCTTTTCATTATGATTATTATGATTCTAATTGCCTCTTATCCAGCTGAAATGAAAATTTATGCAACACAAATGGTCGCATACAATTACATATTTACGATCAGATTGCATCTTGGTACGATACAATTTAAAGAGAGAGAGAAGAAAAAAAAAAAAGAATTAAGCTCAAATAGATACTTGGAAAATATAATTATCACTTATTGATCTACTTTGATACATGTGGAGTATCTTGAAATTGTTAAGCCTCGAATGTTTAATTTATATCTAACACGTAATATGCGTATTAAAGTGTGTTTACAAATTACCTCTAATAAGAAGATAAATAATTAATCAGAATAATAAAAGATAAACTAGAAGATGCCAATTAAGCGTTTTTTTTTTTTTTTTTTTTTGATATATTTAAAGTACAATTCTATATATCTAAGTCAAAGATTCAAGAATTAAATCGCAGAGAAAAAAAGAAAATCGTTCGATTTGTACTTTTTTTATCGTTTCTATCTTCCATATTGTATTGTACGTGAATCAAAAATCAATGTTTTTCGTATCCTCGTAGGACGAAGAAAAAAAAAAGATCGCAAGAATATCCCGCAATTACAATTCTAACCGAGGCTGGTTAAAATACAAACGTTACACTGCAAATGTTATTGCGGCGAAGTTTGCAAAACTCGATAAATTAAGGGAGAGTTACGTTAGACTGCTACAAGGCCTTTAGAAATGTTTAATGGCCACGAATCTGTACGCACACGTGCATATGTCCGCTTCAAATACGTACATCTGTATGCAAGTGTATATATACACACACTCGAAATTTTCAATCCTCGTATCGCAATCAAGCTGTATTTTACTATCACTCTTATTCTCTTCTTTGATACTTTGATCGATCGATGACGAAAAACCATCCTTTCCTTTTTCTTTTTCTTTCTTTATTCTTGTTATTTAAGTATCTTTCCCTCTTTCTTTCCTTCTTTAGAAAAAAACATTGTTTTCTAGAGAGAATTTTTCGACAGTAAATATTAATAATAATAATAATAATATTTAAGGGTGGCCATTTTTTTTTTTTTATATGTCAAAATAGAATGTATTCGAGGTCAGGTATCACAAGTGCAATTGATATTAGCTCGATCACCTAGCTCGACAGTTTAGAGAAAGCGGTTAATGCATGGTCGCGTTTGATTTCTGATATTTTTTTTTCTTTTTCACGTATCTAGAGCGTATCTGAAATTTGGTAATATATGATTTTGTAGATATATGTATAGGTAGATGTGATTTTCAGTCACATTTATTACGCGAGAGATTTACTTTCAATTCATTAAAAAAAGGAAAAAACAGAATTGTGTAGAAAGATTTAATCTATTGTGTAGTTGATCTTGAATTATCATCCTGTTAGATGAAATGATTATAATGAAAGATAATAATAATCTTTATGGCAAAACAAGTTCTATCCTATGACAGGACAATAACTTTTTCAAAGATATATATTTCAAATTGTCTGTTTAAATTTATTATAATAGCAATACGAATAAATAAAAGTAAAAGTTATTCGAAATTAACTCGTTTTATTATATCATCGTAGAAATGAAAGATATTAATAGATATATTAATAGATATATCTTTAATAGTATATATATATATATTTTTTTTCTCTGTTTAAATACAGGAAAGTAATAAAAAATGATTAATTTGATAGATTAATTGTTAATATATTACTCGTGAATATGCTAATATTGAGTAAATTTCTTCTATTTAATTTATCAAAAGAATTTCAAGCTTGTACAATTAATCAATTATTTTTTCCCCTGACAACATTTATATTTCTTGCAACATATTATATTTCATTTCATACGTCAATAATAGGTTAAAAATATATTTAGAGATATTTTCACTGAAATATTCATGGGAAACGTTGTTAAAAAATTAAATTTCTCTAAAATAAAATTTCAAAAGAATTCGTAAGAGAAATCATAAACGAAAAAGAAATAAATTATAAACGAATCGATATCGACGATCTTATTTTGTACACGTTCAATTATGCGGAAGTATAATGTGTGCAAGGACGAACGAGGTGCCGCTCAAAACAAAGTTCATATGCCGTCTATTCACGAGGAGAGAACCGTGATTCCAGACTTTCCAATTTGCCTCCACAAGGGGAGGGATAGAAACAAGCATGACGCACATTTTCTACGGTTTTATTGCACCAAGAACTTAAAACAGATCGAGCTTTCACAATTCCTTTCGACATTTCCAAAACGAGAAAAATCGTGACGTGTCGGAAAATTTTGTCAAGATTTTATCTCTTTTTCCACACACTTTTTTCATTGATTAATTTTACCACGAATAATCGCACACAATTTCGGATCATCGGAGCTCCCTCTTCAAATATTTGAAACTTAGAAAGGAAATTTTCGAAAGAAATCACAATTGCCACGTATTTTTCAAAATTTCAAGTCATCGTACTTTCGTTTCTTTCCAGCAATTTCTGCTGAAGATTACAATTTTCCTCTTCGAATAATTCTAAGATAGAAAACTCTCTCAGGCCAGGAATCGTCATTCGTATCGTGTATCGATTATTATCTTCCAATTAAATCGTAAATTGTGTTGAAGTAATCTGATGCAAATAAGAAAAAAAATATCTTGAAAATGGCTCGTATTAAGTTAAAATAGAGAGGGAGGGGGGGGGAGGGTTGTAAATTGGAGGGAGGGGACGATTGTAAATTGGTATTAATAACAAGGCATTTCGAGAGAGTATTTCAGAAACGTGATAAATATTCATTTGCAATATATATTCATTATTTCTAACAGTTACCGAACCTTGAAATAATGATTAATCGAGTTGATTTAACACGTTGGCAATTATTTCATTTGCTGTACTTAATAGATTTGTGATTAATCGGATATTCTTTTCGCGGGAGTAAATTCTTTACTCGATTATGGGAAGATCTGTGTACACGTTCATGCCGGTAGTTTCAAAAATGAAAGTTTAACCACACTGTTCCTTTTATTACAAATTATTCAATATTGTGAAATCAATTTTAATATTATCACACAACAAATTGCAAAATGGATTGGATTGGGACGTGAATTCGGGAGGAGATATTCATCGGATTTCAAGAAAAAATTTCAAAATTTATTGAAAATTTTTGAAAG